AATGTGTTACGGAGCGGGTTGTCCCAGCCCGTGAGACATGTATTTACTTGGCAAAATGTCCTGTCTTGTTGTGCGTTTGCGTGAGTGCACCTTTAAGTCTAACCTTTGTAACGTCTACTGCCATTGTTAACGACCAAGACAAATTTCTCCCTGCGAGATGAATAAAGATTGTCATTGTCATTGTCATTGTCATATACATATGTGTAATCTGAGGGAGCTCTAGGCAGACCCTCCAAAGCATCTGTGTGGAGGAGTGAAAGTAAAAATTTACTCATGGCTGCCCTTGTTCTTTATTATAGTGAGACTAGGCTGCTAGGCCTATATTCTATATGGAGAAGATGAGTTTTTGAGAAGGGATGCTCTCTTGACTTACCGAAAATGGTGTCGAATGACCCCACTTCAAATCAACAATGGGGTATTCTTAAATTTTGGGTGCTGAGTTTAAAAAGCTTTAACTTTTATGCAGACTTTTCAGAATGCATTCAATTTTTTTCATTGCTTGGGAATGCTCAGAGTAACACAACAAGTTAGATGAATGCATCCTCCTGTAATAATATGAAATAGAAGTATCCCACTGAACAATAGCCTACTGAATACAGATGGAATTGCTAGATCTAGATCTAGATCTAGATCGCGAAATCATCATGTGGAATTAATTTCTCCTCCATCCACTGCTAGATCTAGATATTAAAAATCTAGTTCGGTCAGCCCACCGCTCGTCAACAGCCAACATGCACAGCACAGCGTGAACAGGCGGACACACACAGACCCTCTAAATGTGGAATACATAAACTGCCAATGACACCTAATTCTAGATCTAAATCTAGATCTAGATCTAGATCTAAATCTTATTTCAAAGAAATGTTCTTAGAATGGAAGATATAGATCTAGAGGACAAAAAGGTGGCTAACCTTCACACTAAGGGATGGTTCCCCAAGCTACTTTCGACTCTTTCGTGCAGAATTTCTAACAACCATTATTATTGTTTACATCTAGCGTACTACGGTACCGGATGAGCATACGCCGAAACAGGTCCGAACTTGGAGCACAATTTCAACGCGATTTTTCCTTTAGACCAATTTCATAAATAAAAAATCAGCCAATTTGATCTTTTACACGAAAAGTAATTCCATATCGAGAGAGTATGTCAATTAAAGAATACTACCGACAAAATCAAAACACACACAAAAAGTAGGCTATCCAGCGATGGTAATATTTATGCCCCTGCTCGTTATTTCTCTCTTTTTTTTTCTTCAGCTTTTTATTTTGGCAACATTGTTAATTTTGTGCTTTGCCATTTTATGTTGATTTGCTGAAGTTTGTACTTTCTGTTTTCAAGAACAGAAGAAACAAAACACGCTCCCACATGCACCCGTGCACGCGCACGCGCACGCGCACACACACACACACACACAAACACACACACAAACACACACACACACACACACACAACAGTACACACGCATTCGTCAAGCAGTCTCTGGACACTCATATAGATCTATGCACACCAGACCAATGATAAAATTATCTTGCACTAGGCCACGTACATCGAGAGGGAGCAAATAGGTTATAAATACTAAATAGTACTATTTATAAT